TCCTAAATGAGATCTTTGATCATCTTGACAAGGTTGATATCTTTTCTTTGGGAGCAGCTGTTTATGAGCTTATTAGAGGTTCACCTTTGCCAGAATCTGGACATCCTTTTTTGAATCTTAGGGAAGGAAAACTCCCACTTCTTCCTGGCCACACATTGCAATTCCAGAACTTGCTGAAGGTACTTAGTTTTTTCCTATTTTGGAATTTCGACGGATTACTGTCAATATCCTGTTTCTTTTTGTTATTATTATCAACAGTGTCAGAGAGCCAAAAAATAGTTCTCCAGTTCTTCTTATGCTTCTGCAGACCTTGTAGATTGCATACCTGAACAAGTGTATATTTTTTATTGCCAATGGCATCAAGCTCTTTATCTCTTTTTCATATAGCTGATTTAACATAATTGCTTGATGTTTCTAACAGGCCATGGTGGATCCAGATCCAGCACGACGACCTTCTGCCAAAGAATTGGTGGCAAATCCTATCTTCGACAGGATTCGACAAAAATCCTAGACAAAAATATGAATCAGCTTTGAATGTTTTGATTGGTATTGGAATTTTGTAGATAACGACCGCTTAGGAACAGTTGCCTAGAGAAGAGAGCAGCTGGACAATGGTAACTGAGCAAATGAAGGTTTGCCCTTTCTTTTACTTATTTATGCACCAATTCTTTTCCTCCAAAACAGAATGGTGCAAGTTTTGTAAATTTTGGAGAGAGAGGGGGAACCTCAAATGAAATGCTTCAAGATGTATTGCGGACTGGACGTATCACACATGCAACGCTGAGTTGTATTACCATGCATTTTATCAAGGTCTGAGATATAATATTTTGATCTATTTTACGAGTTAGATTTTCTGAAATCGAATCTCAGCCCATAAACTGATTCATCAATCATATGGTGGAATTTTTTTGCAAACTGAAAAGAGTTGTATGCATCATGTTTTGTTTGTTTGTGGTACAAGCCAAACTGGAAACTACGAATATGAACTCCTGCAAAGTGCATATATAGGTTCTGTTTTGATGTCAAGAGTATATGCTAGTCCGATCCATTCAATCAAAGTGGATTATAAATTCTGAGTTGAATTATATATTTTCATTTGTATATTGTAAGTGTGCATATATTATTTAATTTATAAAATTTATTAAATATATGTATATACAGATTTATGATCTATATCTCCATGCTATCATTTTCATATTTTTAGCAGTAAGTTAATTTTATTGAAGGTAAGTTTCTGCAATGATGATTTCAATGATGTACTAAAATTTTACTTGTAATATGTTGTTCTTTTACTAATAATACAGTGATTTACTGGTTTAAAAATTATTATGTTATATTTAAATTTTATACGTTCGAATTTTATTGAAAACGTAAATTTTATTATTATATATATATATTATACATTAATGATAATTAATTTTTAATATTTAATTTGATTTTTTACTAACTTATTATTATAGTGACGAGATTATAATAACTAAATTGATTTATATCTCAACGAGCTTATTATATTTTTAATTTTTAAATGTGCAAAACAGAATTTAACACACTTTTATAGAGTTGTTTGTGCACTCAGCATTTACAAAGAGATGCAAAATTGTTTCTTAAAAATTTACGAATTCATAATTTATATCTTTATAGAACACAATTATCATATTATCTTTTTTAATTTACTAGAGACTAAATTATTTTTATTAATTAATATTTTATTTTTATCATGTTGACTAATACGATTTATTAAAATTTATATTTTTAGATATATAAATGATACCACATAGTATTTTCTCACTTTTTTATATATTATAAAATATTGGATTATATAAAGAGAAAATTTTAAATATTATCCACTTAAATTTAAAAATAAAAATAAAGTTAATATGATAATTATATTTGTATATACTATATAGACATTAAATTTTAAATACTATCTACTCTAATTTCAAAATATAAAAATATAATTAATATGGTACTTTACATAATATTTATTTATTTGAAATTTTAAAGTATAAAAAATAGAATTTTATTTTTAATTCACTATAAATTATACACTCTGTAATTTTAAAATATGAAAACAGAATTTATTTTTTAATTAATAATATTACATGAATAAAAATCTAATTTATTAAAGACTTTTATATAATTTAATTTAATTAAAAAACATAAAAACCCTAATAGCCAAGCCCAGTTGCCTGAACCCATTAACTACCCTTGGCCCACGTTGAAATTTAACCCTCATTTTTTCGAAATAATAAGAGGCATAAAGAAATTGAAAAACATATTTTGATTTCTTTCTAGAATCTCCCAAGGGTTTTCACCGTTGGTCGTCTTGGATATTCGTCACAGCAAGAGCTCGAAATTTTCCTCAAGCAGGTAATGGCTCGATCGGACGATTGCTTCTATCTAGTAAATTCGTTTTTTGTTTTTTAATAAATTGCCAGCTGATTTAGTGATAGGTGCTGAAATCATGCATCAGATTTGATTGGTTGAGTATGTATCAGATTTGTTTTTGAGGTGGGAAACAAATTGAACGTGTATGTTCTGTTGAGAGTCCTTAATCTTCTTCACTGTTAATTATTTTGATTTAGCTTCAGTCAGCTAATCCGAAATTTTAATCTAGGATGTGTATTACTCCGGATGTGCAAGTGTGTTGGCTAGATGTTCAGTGTGCGTCTAGATGTTATAACTTGTGTTAGTTATCGATGAGTAAAGTAGTTCTGCTTGTGAGTAAATTGTTCAGTGCGTTCGGGTCTCTGATTCGTGGTTACCTCTTTTCTTCTAAGCATCATTTAGTAGGGTTCCCTTTCCGTTATTTGTTGTAGGTGTCTTGCTGCATCCTATTCACATATGATTTTGAAATGCTTCGTGGAGATCATGTGTTTGTACCACACGATATTTGAGAATGGATTCCCTGAAATACTCGAGTTTAGATGATTATGAATAGATCAAGGTCAGAATGCACGTTTTTACTTTGTCCAAGTGAGCTGCTGTAATGATCTGTTTTGGGATTGTTCAGTTCTGATTTTTGGTTTCTGTCCTTTTCTTGAATAGATTCATGCCTGTATTTCGTTTAAATCAATGAAATATTTGTTCTGTCAAGGTCACTGTGTTTTCGTAACACTTGATTTCATTTGCCATATTTTTTTGCTCAAAAGTTCTTGTTACTTTTCTGCTTACTGTTAGCGTTTGCCATATTTAGATATGAGTTCAATCGGTGAACGTGGGAGGCTGAGGAGTATTCTATAAGCTTACACATATTTGAAGTGCATGTCTGTAATGTTTCCCTGGCTCACTGATTCTTGAGCAGTTAATTTTGACCCAATTTCTAACTCGCCCTAAATCCTTAGGTATTGCATCTTGATGATTGAAAGTTATTGTGTTTGCTTTGACAATTCTTTCTGAAATTTTGTTTTAAAGCTTAGTTTTGAGCTAATTGCTTCCAAATTTGAGTTTTCTAGTTTTTCTTGTTGGTTATCATTGTGAATGAGCATTCGTCATTTTCAGATTGATTTGAATTTTCTAGTTTTGCCCAGGTGCATTATTGAGTAAAAAATGAAATGAAGGTTTTTCCCGTAAGTTTTTGTTAATTAATCCCTATGGACCGAAACCTTCAACGTTCCAATAAAACATTAAATTTCATCTCTCTCCCTTCATTCATTATGCATGCATTTGATGTGTTATTTAATCATAAGGGTAAGAAGCTGCCGTATAACACTTGTTTGTGTTTGTCATTTTCCTCATTCTGTTTTTGTATGGATGTGTTCTTAATTCATTTATTTATTACTTAACTGTGACTTATTGGACCAAGCCGAAAAAAATATATTTTTGGAATATATAAACCCCCAACAAATTGAAAGGTTGATTTTGTTTATTATTGCGGGCCAATGTCACATTGGGTTGTAGTAAGGCCAGAAGGCCATTTTAATTTTTGCTATGGATGTTACATGCACCCACTACACTTGAGTATACTTGTGTATGTCTTTAGGACCCAATAAGTATTTGCACAAAATGGTGGATGCTTAATACTTGCCAACCCTGTATATCGGTTTGCTCACCCTTTTCTGTCAGGTCAGTTCTTCTAATAGAGCCCCTACCTTAATGTAGGTTATGATTTGTTTAGCATCCTAAATGTGTGTTTTAAATAGTGGTGTTGCTACCTTAGGCAGCTTCCTATCAGCATCTAGATAGCTGGCTTCCCCTTCTGTTATTTATTTTAGGTCCTTATTTCTTAAGCAATTCAGATGAACCTGTATAAAATGAGAAAGCTCATGCCAACCAGATTGCCATTGTCATTTTGAATGTTGCATAGTTCAGTTTTCAATAGTTTCTTCACTCAGTACATATAGAAATTACTCCGAGAAAATCTCCTAGAATAACTTTTTATAGCATTTGGCTCTCAATTTTCTACTCCTAGATTTTTATTCTCAGTTTTTTTTTTACTGCGTTTTTTTTTTCAAGGTCACTGCAAATAGTTGTGTTTAGAGAATTTCTCTGTTTGATTTCACTGTCTGAGAAATGTTCTCAAGTGTTACAGTTGGACGACATGGCAACTAAGTACATTATAGGGTCTGTATTGGCATCCTTTGGTGTTGCTTATGCATGTGACAGTTTGATAGCTGACAAGAAGATATTTGGAGGTAAGACTCGCTAAAACTCTTGATTCCATGTTTCTCTCCCCTTATGCATAGTGCTGGTGCAATTATATTTTGATCTAATAACCAGGTACCACTCCAAGAACTGTCTCTAACAATGAATGGTGGGAAGAAACTGATAAGAAGTTCCAGGCTTGGCCTCGAACTGCAGGACCACCTGTTGTCATGAACCCAATTAGTCGCCAGAATTTCATCGTGAAGTCAGCTGATTCTTAAAATCCTGAGTGTTCGCTTGAACCCTTGTTGTTGATTTTGTTTCTGTTGCTGCCATATGATCTTTGATGTCTTCACTTTCTGACTTTGCTGGGGTTGCAAACCTCATTACACCTTAATAATCTTTATCAGCAGGGTCTTCTACATAATACACCATTATTCATTTTTTGTTTCGAGTACAGGGGGATTGAACCTAACTTTTAGTTGCTTCAATTGTTAAATATATCTTGAGACAAGAATTGGGTGTGCCACTTCCTGCCTTGCCGATCTAGGAAGGGAGGGATTATAGTTTAATATTTTCGGTTCAATTCTTATTTTATTCGGGTTAATTCTTATGGTTAGTGTTAATATGTAAAATCACAACGGTGGGTGTAAATTAGGCAGGAATAGAATAAGAAAAAAATGGAAGTAAATCTGATCTTTAATTAAACTGAATAAAGAAAACTGTTGTATTTGTTTGAAATGGTAAGTTGAAGTTGAGAAAACAAACAGCACCTAATTATAAGTGTACGTTTATTATCTTTTGAGTGTGTATGTATATATATGCACGTGTATATTTATGTATATATGTTTCTACATTTCAACTAAAGCAATTAAAGTCTCATTAGTTTTCTCCCCATAATATTTGTTCATTATATATATTCTGTTGTTTAATCCCATTTTCTAACATAAGCCAAAGAAATTTTGAGCTGTATGCAATTCTGGTATTCAACTCGTATATTACATAAACACATTGACAAAATAGGGATATGACAATCAACGGGTTTTAGCCCAGCAAAATTTCCGATTTTCGTTCCGGTTAAAGCTCGGTTTTCGACTATTATCTCAATCGTTAAATGGTATGCATAATTTCCTACAAATTGAGATATGATACACTGAAATTCTATCGAGTTTGAAATACGATACATTCATGTATTTACGTGTTAGAGATCTTAGAAGGGTATAATTTCCAACAAATTGAAAAAGCTGCAGGCAATTTTGTTTGATTACGGTACATGGTCCTGTAAACTAGTCGTTGGTCCCAGTATTTGGCATCATGGTTAGTCTCCAATTTCGGCTCACAAAACCTTTAGCCTCATTTAACCTATATTTATATAATTATATTTATATATTCCACATTATATTATCTACAAAAACCTAAATAGTTAAAAAAAAATTATGTTATCTTAACTATATGTTTTAGGCGCTATAAATTATAATTACAATTATTTTTTATAAATAGTAAAGTTAATTCTTAGAATTTGACACTTCTTACTGTTTAGTTTCTAATGTTTTCTTTATACAATTTGGTTTTTAACAATTTATACATTTTTTTAAAGTCTAATTTTCGCCTATTTTCTAAATTTTAAAAATATTTTTTTTAAATTTTTAAATAATTAATAATAACAATCTTTTTAACAAACATCTCATTTTATATAAACACAGAGTTGTTTTGTTTTTAATTTTTAATTTTTTATTTATTTTGAAATTTAAAATGAATTGTCTTCAAAGTTTTAAAATATAGTATAATTATTTTAAATATGTAAAGATATAAAATTAAATTAAATTTTAACTCTTGATTGTAATATCTGAACCCAAAATTTGGTCTATGATCAATTTTAACATATATAAATATATAAAAATTTATTTTTTAAAATTAATTATTTTAATTTTTGTTGAAATTATTGGAAAAAGATATGTTATGAATGAAATCGAAAATAATTTTAAAAAAAAAAGTGTAAAAATTTGCGTTCGGATGGTGTTTTTAAAGAAAAATTAAAAACAGATGGTCAAAGTGCAAATAGAAAAAAATGTATCACGTAGGACCACCCAGTCAGCAGCTCCGATGAATCGGAACACGCCGCGTGGTGAGGCACGCTAACGTTGGTGCCACGCAAGATGCCACGCGGGTGATCTGCATGCCTTGAGATCGGACGGTCCAGAATCTATCATGCGTGCATGGATAGCCCAGATTTGTTCCCCCCTTAAGCGCGATCTGTAACGGCCCCCGAAAATTCAAACGGAAATACATATAATAATTTGAGTGCAGAAGCGAAATAAAAGGTTAAGGTTAACATCCCTTACACGATAACTTAAAAGTACTAAACAAACATCACGGAATAAATTCTCTGAAAGAAATACGAGAAATGAGAAAAATAAAGGAAACTATAAAGTATCTAGCATCTACTCGCAGTCTTCTTACAGAACGGGTTCGAGAACCAGGTTCTCCTTATCTGAAATTGTTAAATAATGGGTGAACTATACTAGCCCAGTAAGGACATCACACTATATCACCGGCACAGAAGTAAAGTTTGGTAGAAAATCAAAAACAACTAATTGAGCACTAAATTTAAACCAATACATTCATTAAAAATAAAACCATTTACTCTTTTACTTACCATTGGGGAATCTGTGAAAACAACCTATAAAAATAATAACATCATACAGGGTCGTCCCCATACTCCGTCCGATATGAGAGCCAAGACATTAAATCTCAATACCGCGTTCGGTATAAGGGTGAAACGGGTCGTTCACATACCCCGTCTGGTATGAATACCAAATGACCAAGTCTCCACACCCCGTCCGGTATGAGACAACATTCACGGTAGGGTTCCCTATGAACCCGGTCCGTCCACCATCTCTCAGAATATCTAGTGAGACTGTCACCTTATATGTTTATTAGATTACATCCCTTTCCTTTTTTTCCTTAATCTCTGTTACCAAATTAAACACAATCACATAAACAATGAACATGCACCCGGTAATACAATTATATCTTAAATCCTAAAATCACACAGTAGTTAAGTAAGACAGTAATACATGTATTTAAAATCCTAAACCAGATACCATCATGCCTTTAAACTGTAAAATAAATCAACAGAAATCAACAGAGAATAATGTCTGATTTCGGGCTCCATTAGCAATCTGTAATTAATTATGCATATCTATCTAACTTGTACAAAAAACCGTATTATTATTTATTCAAACTTCACATCTATGATAGAAAATAGGGTGAGGGGTCCTTACTTGATTTGATGCCGAAAGCTAAAGGGTTACTACGCCTACGGGCGGTCCTTAGGTTTTCTGAAATTTTCTTCGAAAATTACAATGCGCTTACAGTACCTACAAATATCACAAATAAACCCAAAAATCAGTTCCAACGCCTACTCGCCCAATCTTGAAAATCTAGTACAGCGGTGATTTACCTCGGGTTGGCTTTTTTTGGCTGTTTTCGGCTGAATTCAGCCAAAATGCATCGGTTCCTGCGAGAAAACACACTTAGGGCCCTCGGTTGACCGAAAAAATATAAAAAACTGAAACTCACCAGTAGTGGGGCTCTCCGATGCGGCGACTCCCCTGGCTCACGTTGCGGTTGGGTGTTTTGCTCCGGCCAACCTATAGAGAAGGAAACGGTGATCACTACGATGGAGAAATCACATCGAATGGGAATTGAGAAGGGTCTCATCGGAGGCATTTTTTGAAACACCCCGCGACGGCGGTGCCGAACTTCAACGACATTTTTTGGCCAATTGGCCTATTCTTTCACTCTGATTTGGCCATGGGTGGGTTTGAAATCAAATTTAAGCAAATGGTAGAATTTTTATCTCGTTTGGCAGTCAAAAATTGCTCCGGTGCGGCTGCTGTCGGCTCCCCGGCGGCTGGGTTGTCTTCTCCGGCGAGGGGCTCTGGCGGCTAGTGTTAGAGTTTGGGTGCAGATAGGGTTATTTATACCTATCTGTTTTTTATATGGGTCGTCCATCGCATTTAATATGGACCGTCCGATCGCGATTAAATAGGGAGTGAATCTGGACCGTTCATCGCGATTCAATCCAAGTTGTCCGTGTGCGATTCAATCTAGACCGTCCTTACGTGATTCAATTTGGGTTGTCCGTGCGCGATCTCAATCTGGACCATCCATGTACGCGGGAACGGGCCTCAGCCGTTCGATCGCACGTACGCGGATCGCCCACGTGGCTCCCCCTTGCTTGGCCTCCCGCGTCAGCGCCTCTGCCACCCTGCGCGTCCTGATTGGTCGGGGCTACTGACCGAGCATCTAACGTGGTGTAATTTTTCTAAATTGTATTTTGACTCCTGTTTTTCGATTTCTTATTCAAAAATACTCCCACAATCCAAATTTTTATCCCTTTTTTACCAAATTATTTTCAATTTCACCCCCATCTATTTTTCTTCATTTTTACACCAAATAAATTAAAAAATTACTTTTATTAATTTTAATTTTAATTTATTTTGGGGTGTTACATGATCGGACAGTCGATATTAAATCGCAATGGACGGTTCAAATTCATTTTCTCTTTAAGTGCGATCGGACGACCGAGATCAAATCACGATGGACGGTCCAGATTCATTTTCTCCTTAGGCGCGATCGGACGGAAGAACGAGATCGATCACAATGGACAATTCAGATCAACGCGGGATGGATATAAATACCTTGCACCACACGGGAACTCAAACCCTAGCTGCTAGACCCCGCTAGAGAAGAAAACCTAAACACTAGAGAAGGAGGCTGACAGCCGATCGTCGCCGCACCGGAGCCACTGCCGACCGTCAAAAAAGGTAAAAATTTCTCATACTCGCTCAGAATTCGATTCCAAGCACTCATGTGGCCAAATCAAAGCAAAAGAGACAACGGGTGAGCCGAAAACCGTAGGTAAAGCCCAGCAGAGCCGTTGCGGCCAAAACCCCAAAATCCCTCCGATGAGCCCCTTCCTAATTCCTGTTTCACGTAATTTTTTGATCATTGTGTTCATCATCCTTTTTTGTGCAGGTTAACCGAAGAAAGAACCTCAACCGCGAAGGAGAATCGGCGGAGCTGCCGCACTCAGAGGTCCCCTCCCT